AGATGAGGAGGGGTGTTGGGCTCTGCTCCCAGGGAACGGGCAATGGGATGAGGGGAAACGGCCTCAAGTTGTGCCAGGGCAGGGTGAGGTTGGCCATGGGGAAAAATTCCTTCCCCGCAAGGGCTGTCAGGCACTGGAAGGGGCTGCCCAGGGAAGGGGTCGAGTCCTCATCCCTGGGGGGATTTAAAAGCCGGGCAGACGAGGTGCTTAGGGCCAGGGTTTAGTGGTGGGATGGCAGGGTTAGGGGTGTGGTTGGGCTGGGGGAGCTTAAAGAGCTTTTCCAACCTCAACGATTTGATGATTCTATGATTCTAAACAATTCTGTGATTTTATGATTCTAATCCAGCCTATTTTTAAACAATTCCACCAAAAGCATCTCCTCTCCTCTGAGAGTTTACCCTGTTCTATCAGACCTCCACACTGGAAGGCTCATCTTCAGATCCATTTTAAGATATGCTGTTTTGTCTAGCAGGTCATGGAAGCGTACAGTCCTCCTGCAGTCAGCACCTGCAGCAAAGCCAGCCCTAGCAAATGTAATTTTGTGTTAAAACAGGCAAATCAGAGACATACTGCAGCTCTTGGTTCGTTCTGGTAGAAGCAAGCCTTGGAAAGCCAGCTGTGTACGACCGCTGATGAAAAACGGATGAATCAGATTGGCCTGTATAGACGAAAATGCAAGCACTCAAAAGAAAAGCAATTCAATTAAAATCTAAAAATAATCAAATGTTAATGATTCCTGTAAGAATTCAATCTTTGTGCTGGATTTTCGCCACGGGCAGTGAGAACTACTTTATAATGAGTACAAACAACAGCATCCTTCTGTGTGTTTAAGTTACCACTGGAACTCCTGTTTATGATCATTTGGGGAACTGTTGGATTAGTCACCAAATATAAAACTAAGTCTAAATGTGCTCACATAAAAGAACACCTCCCTCCCCAAATCCTCAGCTTTCTTCCTCTTGGCTAGCCTTTAAAACTGAACCAAGGATTCTCTTTCTCAAGTAGCATCTTTTTCATTGCCAGTAAAACAAGACTCATAGCAAAAGAAAACACTAAATAGACCACATGAAGCCATTGGTGGTTCATGCTTGGAGATACGAATACTTTTATTGGAGCTTTACCTTATGCAATGTTTTAAGACTTGCTGCAGGTTCTTAAAAATGAATAGGAATTGCCCTATTCTGATCTGTCAGCAGTCTGGAAACTTAAAACAGCCAGGACGTGTCTCAAGAAATCCAGTTGTTCTCTTTGATCCTAGATTAAAGGGCCTGTTAGAAATTCTAGAGCTATGTAGTTTTCTTACACAGTTCCAATTAATGCGACACTTGAGCTTTATTCTGTGAATGTACAATAATGTAGAAAACTCCTTGGAATTGCCTCGTCCATCAGCTATATTCTATTTAAAAATACATGTATTGGTTTGATATCAACATCCTCAACCACATTCAACACTCCATTTATACCCTTAGGCTTAGTAATTCACAGAGCTTTAGCTTTACAGATTCTTACCAATAAATCCCAAAATGCATGCATGGCTTGATTTAAGAAAGATATTTTACTTGTGTTTCATACACAAAAAACTGATAATCAACAGTGGCTTAAAAAATTAACACTACTCCACTTTTCCACGAGTGTACAAAAAAGAAATAATGAATTTACATTCAACGGTAAAGCTTAAGTTCCACTCTAATAATAGTTGCATTGACATTCACATACACAAGCACAGAATAAATATTTCAGGATTCTTATAAGAGCATACAGCATACATACAGTACTTGAATTTTACATAACGAGTGTTAGGAGGATCAGAAATTCATAATCTCATAGAAAAGTAAAACGAAAATCAGAAAAGGTTGTGTGGGAGGCAACACCAGGGTACTGCACAGAGCTAGCAGGTCAGTAAATCCATTTGTGTAAGGAGTTTGCTTCTGCTTCTTCATATTAGGACAGTTGGTTTGCCCCAAAAGGGCTGTCAGGCACTGGAAGGGGCTGCCCAGGGAAGGGGTTGAGTCCCCATCCCTGGGGGGATTTAAAAGCCCGGCAGACGAGGTGCTGAGGGCCAGGGTTTAGTGGTGGGATGGCAGGGGTAGGGGAAGGGTTGGGCTTGGTGACCTTAAAGGGCTTTTCCAACCTCAATGATTTGATGATTCTATGATTCTAAACAATTCTATGATTTTATGATTCTAATCCAGCCTATTTTTAAACAATTCCAGCAAAAGCATCTCCTCTCCTCTGAGAGTTTACCCTGTTCTATCAGACCTCCACACTGGAAGGCTCATCTTCAGATATGCTGTTTTGTCTAGCAGGTCATGGAAGCGTACAGTCCTCCTGCAGTCAGCACCTGCAGCAAAGCCAGCCCTAGCAAATGTAATTTTGTGTTAAAACAGGCAAATCAGAGACATACTGCAGCTCTTGGTTCGTTCTGGTAGAAGCAAGCCTTGGAAAGCCAGCTGTGTACGACCGCTGATGAAAAACGGATGAATCAGATTGGCCTGTATAGACGAAAATGCAAGCACTCAAAAGAAAAGCAATTCAATTAAAATCTAAAAATAATCAAATGTTAATGATTCCTGTAAGAATTCAATCTTTGTGCTGGATTTTCGCCACGGGCAGTGAGAGCTACTTTATAATGAGTACAAACAACAGCATCCTTCTGTGTGTTTAAGTTACCACTGGAACTCCTGTTTATGATCATTTGGGGAACTGTTGGATTAGTCACCAAATATAAAACTAAGTCTAAATGTGCTCACATAAAAGAACACCTCCCTCCCCAAATCCTCAGCTTTCTTCCTCTTGGCTAGCCTTTAAAACTGAACCAAGGATTCTCTTTCTCAAGTAGCATCTTTTTCATTGCCAGTAAAACAAGACTCATAGCAAAAGAAAACACTAAATAGACCACATGAAGCCATTGGTGGTTCATGCTTGGAGATACGAATACTTTTATTGGAGCTTTACCTTATGCAATGTTTTAAGACTTGCTGCAGGTTCTTAAAAATGAATAGGAATTGCCCTATTCTGATCTGTCAGCAGTCTGGAAACTTAAAACAGCCAGGACGTGTCTCAAGAAATCCAGTTGTTCTCTTTGATCCTAGATTAAAGGGCCTGTTAGAAATTCTAGAGCTATGTAGTTTTCTTACACAGTTCCAATTAATGCGACACTTGAGCTTTATTCTGTGAATGTACAATAATGTAGAAAACTCCTTGGAATTGCCTCGTCCATCAGCTATATTCTATTTAAAAATACATGTATTGGTTTGATATCAACATCCTCAACCACATTCAACACTCCATTTATACCCTTAGGCTTAGTAATTCACAGAGCTTTAGCTTTACAGATTCTTACCAATAAATCCCAAAATGCATGCATGGCTTGATTTAAGAAAGATATTTTACTTGTGTTTCATACACAAAAAACTGATAATCAACAGTGGCTTAAAAAATTAACACTACTCCACTTTTCCACGAGTGTACAAAAAAGAAATAATGAATTTACATTCAACGGTAAAGCTTAAGTTCCACTCTAATAATAGTTGCATTGACATTCACATACACAAGCACAGAATAAATATTTCAGGATTCTTATAAGAGCATACAGCATACATACAGTACTTGAATTTTACATAACGAGTGTTAGGAGGATCAGAAATTCATAATCTCATAGAAAAGTAAAACGAAAATCAGAAAAGGTTGTGTGGGAGGCAACACCAGGGTACTGCACAGAGCTAGCAGGTCAGTAAATCCATTTGTGTAAGGAGTTTGCTTCTGCTTCTTCATATTAGGACAGTTGGTTTGCAAAGGTATATTCAAAGTGCAGATTAATGCAAAAAAAAAACCAAAAAAAGATATTCTTGTATTTAGTAATACATGCAAGAGGCAGCCCCCAAGTCACCCGACAGAATAAAGCTGTTATTGGCAAGTGGCCGATATAATACAGATGTTTCAGGCATTTTTTTTTTTCTAAAGCACTTTAATAGCAGCAATTGTAATTTATAATGGCTCTAGATTGACTTCTGTTTGGGTTCAAGGGCATCATATTTCTTTAACATTTACAGCTATATTTCTTTATAAATAAACATCTCAAATAACAAATAGCATAGCTAACGTTTCTTTTTTTCTCTCTCTTTTGCATAAGTGTCGTGGAAAAACTCTGACCTTTTCAGAGACATAATGTGCAAAACAATGTTACGAGTGGGAATAGGGACACAGAGCATCACAGTCCGTTACATTCCTGGGATGTCAGTCCAGCCCTTCTCCACTGCGAGGGCTAGCCTTGCCAGGGTAATGCTGGGCTTTAAGGGACAATTTTCCCAATGGCTTGCTTGGTAAGAGATAAAATTTATGGTATCTTAAAGAGCTGTAAATGCGAGGTTTTATTTGCAGGAGTGTGTACAATACGTCATGTATAGGACTCAGTATTTCCACACAGGGACTTCTCAAGATCTGGAAAGTCTGGTCATCTCCCTTCAGACATTTCCCCCCCCCCAGCCTGAACATCTCTGAACGTTTGTGTTCATTAGGTGTTTCCTCTTGTTGCATATTTACCAGCTCTTCTTGCATTTTAGAATCTGATCTCGTATCACCTAGCTGACAGCTGCACACAAATATTTCCAATCAGGTAGAGGGTGCACAACATTAAAACTTTTAAACCTGTCCTGTAAGTGTCATCAAGACAGGAGCACAGGAACCACAGTGCAGAGAGTCCAACCTCTCACTGGCTGTACTGTGAAGATTCTCCTTTTCGGCGTAGGAGAAAGGAGACTTGTGTCTGCTTTTTAGATTCTGAAAACAAGCCAGAGTGGAGAAAAAGAGTTAACACCAGACTTAATAAAGCTTTTAAGACAAAACCTGTTAAGCAATTTAGACAGACACTGTGAATTTCCCGCTGATTTTCTCAAGTCTGTACATAGAGGAAATTTGTTAACAGTAGGAAGAAGTTGGGAGTTGCTACATAGGAGAAATCTGCCATGATTACAAAAATGGGCTAAGTGGGTATAAACCCCTCATTGGTCACTGTTCTCAGTGGTGCTGTTGCCCTTTTCTTTTTTCTCCTGAGTCTTGTTTCCCTTCTTCTTTTTCTTCTTTTTCTTGGTCTCTTCCTTCTTGCCAAAGGTTATGAAGTCACTTTTGTCAATTTGGCTGTTTGGTGGCTCCTGCCGGATGGAGATGATTGCAGGAGATCCTGGGATAATGAATTTGTCTGGCAACTCACCAGGACCACCTTGTTTGGGATTGCCGGGTCCAAATTTAAAGGTCCAGCTGTTGCTGTTCACACCAGCTCCCACTGGGGGGGACACCTCTCCAGCCTCAGGTTCTGAAAAAGTCAAAACAGCAAGAAAAGCTTAAAGCATCATTAAATCATAGAATCATAGGTTGGAAGGGACCTCAAGGATCTCCTGGTCCAACCTTTCTAGGCAAGAGCACAGTCTAGACAAGATGGCCCAGCACCCTGTCCAGCTGAGGCTTAAAAGTGTCCAATGTGGCAGAGTCAACCCTTCCCATGGGGAGATTATTCCAGTGGGTGACTGTTCTCATGGTGAAAAATTTCCCTGTTTTGTCCAGTCAGAATCTCCCCAAGAGCAACTCGTGTCCATTCCCCCTTGTCCTCTCCATGACTCCTTGTGAAAAGGGAGTCTCCATCTTCCTTGGAGCCACCCCTTAGGTACTGGTACATGGAGATGAGATCCCCTCTGAGCCTCCTTTGCTCCAGGCTGAACAAACCCAGCTCTCTCGGCCCATCCCCATACGGCTGAGGGACGCTTCCCAGCCCTTGGATCCCCTTGGTGGCCTTGCTCTGGACCCCTCCAGCCTGCCCACAGCTTTTTGTACAGCGGGGACCAGAACTGCACACAAGAATCCAGGTGGGCCTGGAATACAAGCACTCAGTGAGTATCAGCTTCCTGTGCAAAAGCTATGGCTTTAGCCTGGCTCTACATTAACTCTTGGTTGCCTGGCTGCTCCTCTGTGTGTTATCAACTGGTTCTTGTCCAGGCTGCTCGTGCATGGATTCACTCCAGGTACTGCCGGGCCCAACATGCTCTGGGTCAAAGAAATGTGTATACATGACACATCAGAACTGGCTCTGAGACCATCTGTGTGACAGCTTTGGCACATGGAATCCTTGTCAAGGAGGTGATATGATGGCTCTTACAGTGTGATGTTTAATCAAGAATTAGAAGAGCCTGTACACTTATTTTTTCCCTAAGACTGTATCTAACAGTGAAGATTTGACTTTGAGTTTCTGTTCTTTCCAGGAACTGCTGAACTTGTTTTAGTGACCTTAACCTTCCTAGTCTCAAACATCTTTTTTGAAGTGGTTATTGATGTGGAAGTTCCTCTATTTAATCAGTTGTAGCTTTTCTGTAAACCTCCCACAGCCTTAACTATCAGCGTCAGATTTTTTGCATGTTTGTTGTTGGTAATAGCAGTGTCCTAGCAAGCCCTTTCATACCAAATGCACTAACATGAACCAGCTTTCATTTCTGCTTAATAAAGTATTTTGGTCAGGTACGCTTCATATCGGTTTTGTTTCTTTGAGATGATAAATTACAAAGGTGAACGTTGTGTCTCTTGGCCTTTTTCCAAATTATTAATCAATTGTCTTTCTCCAGCGATACAAAAATGTGAGCTTTCATATAGTACACCATAAATTAAGCCCTATTTGACAAATAAATCCTTTCTCCTTCCCAACAAGCCCATGCAGCATTCATTCCAAACAACGCTGGCCCAGACCCAATGCTTTTTTCCTGTTCCGGGCAGGAAAAAAACCAGCTGAAGGTGACCTCAGATTGCTTTTGAACCATCCTTGTTCTGGTTGGGGACAGCCCTGCAGCAGTTAACAGTCCAAAGCCTGCTTTGAAGTACACAGGTTTGCAACGCTCCACGGCTCGCAGTGCCACCGCAGCACACCTGAAATACCACGGTGTGTGGTTGTGCCATCTTAGGCTAAAAATGTACGGCTTCAGCCATATCGGGCTGAAGACAGGACATGGGACAACGACAGTGCCTTTATATTATGCACTTTACCAGACAAATACAGTAACAGGCAAGAATGCAGGGTACCCTTAAGGTACAGCATCTCTTTTTCCATGCCTGAAAACCCCTGCCAGTCTAACAGGGCGCACATACACGTCTGCATTACTGAAATCTAATTCAGAACAGGATACTGACCCTTTAATCGGGTTCTGCCTAGGCAAATCCACTCACCAGATGAAGTCAGTAACATTTATCACAAAGCCATCTGACATAAGGCATCCAAACACAGCAAACCCGTCGTATCCTCCCTGGAATCGGGATTCTGTCAAGCTAAAGACCAAGGGGGTTTGCTTGCATTTCTGTGTGCTTTTTTCCCAGCCCCTGACTATGTTTGTCGTCTGTACAAATGAAGCATTTTAATACTCCTTAATATCCACTAAGCCAAAGGAAACTAATTATCCGTACAGCTGCGTGGAGGGCTCACATGCAGAAAGCCCGAGACAGGCAGAACTTGAGGAGTTAATAGCCATAATTTCCCAGGAGTGGGGCTTCAGCAGCCTCCTCAGGACATTTCCCTTCTGCGTGATTTACCTGATAACGTGTGGGTTTATCTGTATTGGCAGGCTGGAAGGTCGCGGTTCAGCTGTACTAACAACGTTGCGTGTTGAGGCATTTCAGATGAAGCATAAATGTCACTCACCCCCTCGTTTCCAAAGCTTCCTTAAACATCTCTTCTGTTTCTTACCAACAGGAATTTAACAACAAAAGCTTTCCACTGGGATGCTGTTTTACATTTAACAGGATTAGCTGTGCTTCTCTTTAATATTTTCTGGGTCTCATTGAATGCTTTCAAGTTGTTTATTTAACTTAGAGGAAAACCTAAATAAAGCAAACCCACCAGCTATATTTAAAACACCGAATTTAAAACATTACGCTTCTTCCTACAGCCACACCGGGCGGTCGTGCCCGAGTTCCTACATAAAAGCACAGAGCCTGGCCATTGCCTGGTGTAACTCAAAGGATTCCTTTGGAGGCTGCCCCTTTGCTTTATTCTTAAGGAACATGGCAGCCTTCATGTTCAGTGACCAAATGATTTATTTTTAAAATGCAGGCAGGCAGCAGAACCCAAAATCTAGGCTGCACCCGCAGCTCCTGATGCTTCTTCGCCTGCGCGTCTGCATGCTAAAATGGGAGGTGAACTTTTCACCCTTCCATTTGCTCATACTCTCGCCAAAATACACGTGTCTCAGTAGACTTTAAATGGACCCCAGAGCAACCGAGAGTCTGCAGCGAGCAGATCATATATTGAGTTGGGAGAAAAGGACTTCTAGGTTGTCTTTCAAAATACTTCTTTTTCTATCCGGTGACTGTTGTCTAAAATGCACAGGCAGATCAACATACAAAAAACCCCCCACATCCTAAAATCACCAATCTGAAAGCCTGAAGCAGTAGGGTACGGTGTCTAGCTACTTTTTTTCTCTTCCAGAGGCATTTACAGGTCATATAATGTAGCCCTCTACCTCTTACAGGACTTGAAAACCATACAAATCTCAGGCAATAGGCACTTCTTCAACAAGTCCTAATTGCTCTGAGAGCACCTGATTGCCCACACGTTGTCAGACAGAAAGCATCATGGATGTCATAGGCTCCGAGATCCCAGAAAAGGAGCAGGTTTCAGGTGAGCTGTGTCACCTCGCTGAGCACAGAGCTTCTCACGTGTGTGCTCCAGGCAGTTCTGATCTCAGCACAGGTTTTTCAGAGGCACCTAACGCTCCCTGTGCTCTGCGCAGGGAGCCCAGACAGGGAACAGGGTCCCTAAAATTTAGCTTGTAGTAGCTGTAGGTGCCTGAATTTTTTTTTCTTAGATGTCATCCACAGACTAAGGTATCCCTTTTCTACATTCAGCCACCAAAAAAGTGGGCATCCAATCTAAACTGCCTAATTGAGCTTTTGCTACAGTCTATAAAGGGAGACAGGCACCCTCAGAAGGCAGCTCGACCCACCTAGCTCAAACGCCTGATTTTAGATGCACTGAATTTTCTTTGCTCCTCTCCTCTCCCTGCTGGAGCTCTATTACCTTTGCTGCTTTAACGGCAGCTAAAGCCTGGGCAGCCAATTTAAACTAGACAGCTAACTTCTGGGTGGCTGGTGCAAAAGGAGCTGAATTCCACCCTCAGGAGCAAGCTAAGCAGCATCATGGCTTGGGAGATGGGCCCACTGCTGAATGAGGTGGGTGCCCTGGTGACAGAGGATACAGAAAATGCCGAGTTACTGAATGCCTTCTCTGCTTCAGTCTTTACTGCTAAGGCTGGCCCTTAGGAATCCCAGAGCCTGGAGGTAGGAGAGGAAGTCTGGAGAAAGGAAGACTTTCCTTTGGTCAAGGACGATTTGGTTAAAGATCATTTAGGCAAACTGGACACCCACAAATCCATGGCCCCCAATGGGGTTGCACCGATGAGTGCTGAGAGAGCTGGCAGATGTTATTGCTGAGCCACTCTCCATCATCTTTAAAAGGTTGTGGAGAACGGGAGAAGTGCCTGAGGACTGGAGGAAAGCCAGTGTCACTCCCATCTTCAACAAGGGCAAGAAGTAGGACCCAGGAAACTACAGGCCAGTCAGCCTCACCTCCATCCCTGGAAATGTGATGGAACAGCTCATTCTGGATGTCATCTCTAAGCATGTGGAGGAAAAGGGGGTTATCCGTAGTAGTCAACATGGATTCACCAAGGGGAAATCATGCCTGACCAACCTGATAGCCTTCTATGATGGCACAACTGGCTGGGTAGATGAGGGGAGAGCAGTGGATGTTGTCTATCTTGACTTCAGCAAGGCCTTTGACAGTGTCTCCCGTAACATCCTCATGTAAGCTGCGTTAGAAGAGTGGCCAGTGAGATGGACTGAGAACTGGCTGCTTGGCAAAGCTCAGAGGGTTGTGATCCGCAGCACAAAGTCTAGTTGGAGGCCTGTAGCTAATGGTGCTCTCCAGGGGGTCAGTACTGGGTCCAGTCTTGTTCAACTTATTCATCAATGACCTGCATGAAGGGACAGAGTGCACGCGCAGCAAGTTTGCTGATGATATAAAACTGGGAGGAGTGGCTGATACATCAGAAGGCTGTGCTGCCATTCAGCGGGACCTGGACAAGCTGGAGAGCTGGGTAGAGAAGAACCTAATGAAGTTCAACAAAGGCAAGTGTAGGGTCCTTCACCTAGGGAGGAATAACCTCATGCACTAGTACAGACTGGGGGCTGGCCTGCTGGAAAGCAGCTCTGCAGAGAAGGACCTGGGAGTCCTGGTGGACAAGTTAACCATGAGCCAGCAGTGTGCCCTTGCAGACAAGG